GTAAAAGCCGCCACACAAGTAGCAAGAAAAACGCGCCATGGAACGCCGTCCTGCATGCGCCACGATGCTACGCCACGGGACTGGCACAAGACTCGAGGGGCAGATGAAGAGACTGACGAGGTTGGAGTCAGCGAGCAAGAGACATTTTGGCTGACCATTTTCAGTTTTGAGTTTACGGGCACAAGTACGCCCTAAATAAAGAGTTTATATAGTACCAGGTGCTAATTTATTCGTAACAATCAGGTGGAGGTGCGGGGTATGCTTCCAAGCCCATCACAGGCAAGGGAGAGAAGTCCAGATCCCAGAAGATTGGAGCCAGCAGAATTAACACCTGTGCACCAACGCATGAGTCGCCGACTACATGGTGAGCACCCCGAGTTTGGCCCCCTAATTGACCCATCAAGACCTGTTGAGAACTCAAGCACAAGCGTAACTGCGATGGCCACCCAGTCGATGCCATCTCCATCTCACCTCATTGTGGATTCGCCACGTACATTAGAGGTCTTCCACGCCGAGGACTGGCTTGAAGGATTTGAGCGCGTTGCACGTTTGAATGGTTGGGACGAAGCCCGAAAACTTCGTTACGTATACGTCGCCCAGCAAGATTCGGCACGTGCGTGGTTTGAGAACTACGAAGCGTCCTTGCTGTCGTGGGACAACTTCCGACGAGAGCTAATCGCAACCTATTCGAACACAGACCACAAAGAAAAGGCAGAGGCTGCTCTTCAGGCGAGGAACCAACGGAATAAGGAGAGCGTGGCCATGTACATAGAAGACATGTCGCGGCTCTTTCGTCGAGACGACCAAAACATGGCCAAGGAAAAGAAATTGCGGCACCTCATGCGCAGAGTAAAAGAAGAAATTTTTGCAGGCCTGGTGCGTAATCCACCGCGAACAGTGGCGGAAATCCGGTCAAAGGTAATGACCATGGAAAGAACACTACAACAACGTGCGCGACTCTACAACAGATACTTCAGCGTCTCTTCAGTCAGGGCGGAGTCAACAGCCCTCCCCACCAACGTTGACGTCCTCCGGAAAATGGTGAGGGCTATCGTTAAGGAGGAGCTCCAGAAACTACAACTCCCTAAAAGTCCTCCGGCGATGCCCTCAATCGCGGACGTTGTACGAGAAGAAGTGCGGCAAGCAATTATTCAACCACAGCCTCAGGTGCCCCACCACACGCAACCGGAACCTCAGCCACAGCTGTCGTACGCGCAAGTCGTACGGCAAGACATCAGACGCCCGAACTTTGCACAAGCTCCCGTTATGCCACCGACCTTTCCTCGCAGTACGCCACCGCCGATGCCAGAAGCGAGACCCCGCAAAAGTGATGTATGGCGCACGGCATACCGGCGGCCCCTCTGCTACCACTGTGGGGAGGCAGGTCATCTTTATCGGACATGCCACTACCGTCGGGTCGGACTACGTGGCTTCCCAGTGTATGTACCCTGCCCTCGTAACGGTGAGCGCCCTTACGAAATCGAAGAATTTTTATCTTCGCGCTATGCCTCTCCAAACACTCAGCGACATGAATCGCGATCGATTGTACCAATGCGCAATAGGTCGCCGAGTCCACACCCATCATCTACTTTCCCGAGGCGTCGATCACCAAGCCCGCGGCGGGAAAACTAGAACCAGCGACCTGTGGAGGCACGGCCGCTAATTTTCGGAAAACTAAAAACCGTTCATCGTTAACCGGATCAGAGTACGACACTGACACAATGACGGACAAGCGCAGTAATGGTGACGTGACATCCGAGCTACAAGTCAGAATCGACGACGTCGAAACCATAGCGTTAAGAGGCGCAGGTGCAGACTACTCAGTAATAAGTAGCATGCTCCCAAAGAAGCTGAAGAAAGTGCTCACTCAATGGACCGGACCGCAGATACGCAGGCAAAGGGTCGAGTTAAGCTGTTGCCCACATGTAAAAGTCGCCGCGAACGTTTCTTCTTTTCACGGAAGACGATGGTGGCAGTGGCTTCACAGCCTCCCGTGCACGCTCGCTCAATCAAGGCGCGTGACGTCATGGCGGCAATGAGCAGGCCTGATATCTAGGTGGCACTGGGTATAGTGAACTAGATAGCACTGTAGCACAGGCAGCAGATCCCAGATCATCGTCTGACGAAGGAGCATTGCCGCGCGCGCTGCTGTGTCATCACGTGATAGCCGAGAGAGTGTAAGGGGGAGAGAGCCGTAATACCCTTGCCGTTCAAGTGTTTCGTACAGATGATTGACAAGCGTGGCTGAAACATGTGGACCGTTGTTATCGCGGGCTTTTTGATATTTCAATCAGTCTCTGAGAAATGTCTGGTTCATACTTTTCATCGGGTGACGTTAGCCTAAACGATAATAAGCAAACCTAAAGGCCTTTCAGGGGTGGCACTTCATGCCGCGGTTGGTGTCATCCCAAGCAATATAATATTTTTTTTTTCCACCAATACAGTGTAGACGGAGGCAGTGTGGGGAAAAAGCGACATGCCGCTTGACTAAGTTCCCACCTCCCAATTACACCGGACAGACGTAGTGGTGGCGACAGAATACATGAAATGGCCGCAGTAACTCACTTTCGTTACACAAATATATGGACGCACATGTAATGCAGACGTTTCAAATGGAGGCAGTACGGGTTGTATACACTTGATATAACAAAAAGGCATGGATGAGCCTGTTTGTAGAACGCTTTGTGCAAATATAACAAAAGAAAACATTAAGTGCAGAATGGAAAAGAGACACCAAACATGGCAACACACTGCATAATACGCATAAGGGAGTAAAAGGTAATGATTTGATTGATGTGTGGGGTTTAACGTCCCAAAACCACCATACGATTATGAGAGACGCCGTAGTGGAGGGCTCCGGAAATTTCGACCACCTGGGGTTCATTAACGTGCGCCCAAATCTGAGCACACGGGCATACAGCATTTTTGCCTCCATCGAGAATGCAGCCGCCGCAGCCAAGATTCGATCCCGCGACCTGCGGGTCAGCAGCCGAGCAACTTAACCACTACACCACCGCGTCGGGGCAAGGTTACTGATCTGCTTTAACAGTGGAAACAATCAAAAATTCGCGGATCTGTCCCAGTGAAATGTTTGTAGTTTGAATGCCCGCAAAATGGAATTTATTTAGAATGTAACGGTAACTCATAAGACACACTTTGCATACCTTAATTTGTTCTTGTGTGAGGACGTAGCCAAAGAAGACGATTACGATTTTGGGATCGTGACTTGTAAGTGTGCATATCAGCTAACTCTGATAATGTAGACAAACGTGTTTTTGTTCTATCTTACAGTATTGCAGCAGTCTATATTTGCATAAGTTGAAATCGTTAATGATACTATGTTCAATAAACAAATTATGAGTGCCACGTCTGTACGGAAGTTCATAAATGAACCGAATGATTTCAATTATGTAATAGAAAACTTTTTTGAGGTTACTTTGGGTCATCATGGTCCACACTATTGTACAGTAATTTAAATATGAAATTATTGAAAATATAAAATTAATATGAAATTATATTATTGACATGGTCATTCCACTGCATACTTTGTGTAAAATAGACTCCACGTGACTCTATAGATTTCACAATTTCGACAGACTGTAATTTATATTGCAAGTTTATTGAAGTGTCCGATTTCTTATTCTCACAGGTAAGATAACTAGCTTCAGCCTTTTACATTGATTGACAATGCATTTACTTAGTCCACAGTTTTAAAGTTCTCAAGATATTGTTGCCATGCAAAGCTAACTCCTGATGAGTGTCAGCTGACAACAGCATCGTGGCATCATCTGCATAAATTGAGTCTAGAATCGCAATCAATATGCGTAATATCATGGATGTAAATGTTTGAAAAAAGAAGCCCCAGTATGCTACCTTTAGGCACTCCGGTTTCGATGTCGCGTGTTTTCGATTGAAAACTGCCAATGCATATTTAAACATGCTATTTTTAATGTCACAGATATGATTTCATTAACTCTAAAGCATGCCACAAAAAAACTTATTGGATAAAATGCTATGCAAAATACAATCGAAAGTTTTCGTGTAATCTGTAAAAATACACAGGCACAAATTTATTCTGCTCAAATTTGCCCAGCATATATTGTTCTTGATGCAGTAAAGCTATTTCTGTCGACCAGTTCCTCCTAAATTCATACTGAGGGTCGGTAAGTGTGTTGTGAGCATTTAAAAACCTATAATTTGCATGTATAAACTTTTTCCAAACACTTAGAGAATACCGGAAGGATGCTGATTAATCTGTAATAACCAAAGTCATTTTTGGCCCCTTTTTTGTGAAGAACAATTACTTTGGCTGTTTGCATCGCAGATGGAAATGTCACCGTTTTCAGACATAGATTAAGTATGTGTTAATGGTGCAGAAATTACTTCCATCAGATGCCTGACAGGACGAACCTGTAAAATGTTTGTATCACATGATTTATTGTTTGATAGCTTGGAGAACATCCTTTACCTTTATTCTTCGTAACGAGCTAAAAAATAAAGTAATGACGAGCATCTCGTTCTATGCGTACCATGATAGATGCTGGGGAGCTCTGTTTAGTCAAATGCAGGCTGAAAGCTCCAGGCAACTGTTCGCCTGTGTAAAGATGGTTATTTTGTATGACTGTATCAAAATTTTCATCTTCAACAAAGTTCATGTAGAGGAACTGGGTTTCCGCCCACAGTATCTAGATGCCGAATTGAAAGTAGGAACTGATTTTCGTAATAAGGTCATTTTGCATTGCGTATTTAACGTGTTTCTATATTTAACGTGTTTAACGTGTTTCTTATTTAACGTGTTTCTATAAAAAAACTTTTCAAATAAATGCATACCTTTAGAGGCAGTATAGGAATTATTGTTTATTTTAGGTTTTTTTGCGAGCGTGTAGCCAAGGCTTTTTAAGTTTTTTTTTTCGATATTGGTTTACTCTTAAGCAGAAAGGGCCTATTATAAATACCTCAAAACTGTCTGAGAAATTTCGCATAGGCTATCTCAGCATCAGTTTCATTGAACACGTCATCCCAAAGTGTAGCCGATATTTCAGCATGAAGTTTTCTCATAGTATTGGGTGTAATACACTGTATCTATAAAGCATGCAAACGTGTAGACCGAGGTAGATTTTTTCGTTAAAATGAATAAATACTAATGTGGTCACTCATTTCGCAACACGTTACTCCTGAGTGTATACCATAACCGTTTAAATTAGTAAAGAATTATTAAATCATAGTTTCTGAGTTCGCCGTAACACGAGTTGGATGCTTAACAACAATGCTGCATCCAAAGCTTTTTAATAATACGCCAAAATTAGTTGCATTGGTAAAACTAGACATCATGTTTGTATTAAAGTGCTTAAATATAACGTCGTATTGTTCCGCTGAAGTGAAAGAAAGGTATGAGTCTACGTATTCAAAAAACTGTCTAATCTCCCCACTAAGGGGTCTGTAAAACACCAAATAGACTGTGTTATGGACTAGTATGTTCGACTGCAGATGTAATACAACAAAGGTCTGAAATAGATTCGCATTCAATTTTCTCATTAGCAGGAATCCACCTCCACTGCACCATTAACACGGTTCATAGCAAATGCTGTCAATGACGTTAAACAGAAGTCGCTATTGAGCCAAGATTCTGAAATCGTAACAAAGTCGAAAAGAATATCAAAACTGTCTAGCAAAATCTGAAGTTCATCTACCTTGTTATTCACTTATCGCACATTCAAATCAATACACTCCTCGGATGAGCCAAGCCACTCGTCGCATTGTAGCACGCACCCAGCGTTATCCATCATGAGCCGACGGCCATATTGTTATATTCGCACACTTATTTAACCCACAGAGAACATGACCAGCTAACTGACATCATTCATCATATGTGAATATTCCCATCCGACTGTCATATAAGGATCTTGCCTTTGGCATACCACACATATCGAAAGCGCTTTTTGCGAGCCTGTTGTTTCACCCGGTCCACAAAAGTGATCTAGCCCGGCGTGTCAAATTTTCTGACAAACAGTTTAGAACGTTGTTCTAGTACACTTTTTTTTGTAACCACAGATCCCTCAGTGTTTGGCTTTGAAAGCGCACGAAGATAGCAGGTGTCTCATTTGCCTTCGCTGGAAGCCGGTGATATGCTTCAATGTCATGGTCACCGATCTCGGGAACATGGATCAGTATAGCTGCCTCATTGATTTTTCGCAGAGGATTTTTGTGTTCATTAAATGACACTACATGAATCTCCGGGTTTTTGCTCCTACTACGCATTTCCAAGTTGTTCATGTTTGCATTTAACTGGCAGAGTTCTGCATCTGGCCTCGAAGGTTCCAATATTCCAGTTCTTTTTTGGAGTTGCTCAATTTGTTTTTCACGGCTATCGAGCCGTTTCAGAAAGCTATCGAGAGGATCACGCATCGTTTTCATTGCCCGTTTCAATGCTATCAAATTTCATCATTTTGCGGCAATAAAAGATCTAGCCTGCAATTTATTTCAGCAAAAGCAACAGGAAGGTTGAACCCTTGAAACGTCAGCAGTCTACGCCTTTGCGGAATGTGCCAGATTTGCACGTGGGACAGATGTTCTTTCGAAAGCCACTAGCAGCACTTCTTGTCTGCTCATGTGGCCCAGTTACACCGGGGCCCTTTTCTATCTGATAAGAGTAGCCGCATTCTTACATTTCACTTGAGCATAAGTGGTTTGAAGGACGAGTTCGCAAACGAGGCATATGTCTTGTTCAGTATCACCCATCGCCCCGTGTACCCTTCATCCGTATGACAAAACTACGTCGACTAGCTTGGCAGCAGTAGAAACGAGGTAAGAGCAAATAAAAAAAAGTGCTGAAACAAACCTGTGAAAATGCAGGTAAAAAGGTCGGAAGGCACGTCTATCGTTGGCCACCAAGTGCTGCCAAAGTCTCAATGAAATGGGGGGCGTTGCCAAGCGCGATGTAGATCCAGTGTTTTCGATGCAAGTTTGGGACGGCCGCTGAATCCTGCGAGTCGAAGAGAGAGAGAAAAAAAAACTGTAGCTTTTGTCAAACGTCGGCAGTGCAACAACGCCAGCTATTCGGGACACAACACCACAGCAGGACAGGAACATACCTAAGTTTGATGGCCGCCGAGTCCTGTGAAAATGCAAGTAGATATGCAACAAGACACGTCTGTCGCCGGCCGCTACTGCTGCCAAAGTGTCGATGAAACGGGGGGCGTTGCCGAGCGCGATACCAGTGTTTTCGGTGCAAGTTTATGACGGCCGCCAAATCCCATATTTTATGACCGCTGAGTACTGTGAAAGTGCAGGTAGAATTGTCAGAAGGTACGTTTATCGCCGGCCACCACTGCCACCAATGTGCTGACAAAACTTGAACTACAGCTCGTGCAAGTGCGTAAGCTGGCATCCAAGGCGCGGACGAACACAGCCAGTCGCCGCGAATATGAAACATGGGGCGAATTTAGTTGAGCGTCCGCAGAAGGTGCTGTGGACACCCAACTGAATATGAATATTAAACGCTACGCAGACTACTTGTGGTCCGTGGTACTAAACACCTTTAACAGTGAGTGTTATTGCCGAGGGAGCCACAATGCTTGCGTACGCAGGCTCTCGAGTTCCTCTGTATTATCAGCCAGACTGCAGGAAAATACGCATAAACGCAAGGGCTTACCCCTGTATAACATAATTATTAGTAGTAATGAGTAAATCAATTATTGTTTATTAATACAAGCACCTTTGGTGCCCCGGCACTAAGGATCTATAAAGAAGCGATGGCGTGCTTTTCACATCCCAACCGAGTTTTCCCGAAGGCAAGGATGTAAATTGAACAGTTATTAGAATGCGACATCATGGTTTCTCATCCACCATTGTGGCACGAAAAAACCCGTAAATGTTTAAGGGCAGTGACCACCCCCTCTGCCCCCCCCCTACCCTCGCATATTTTTTGATACGCAAACCAGGACGAAGAGAAGTGCTGGCGCTGCGGTCCGTCCTCGTTTGCGCTGAAGCATTCACGTTAAAATATTAAGTATATTAGAGAGTTTTCGTACTGCGGAATGGTGCAACGTACGCATCACGCAAGCGCCTTGCGTTACGTGGCGTCGTTTGCCACTAATCGGCTTTTAGTACGCCGTAGTACCCGCGTACGTAATGAGCGTGAAGCGTGTTGCGTCATCTGGTAGATCAAAATAGAAGCACGTGTTGTAGACAGCCAATGTGAGCCAATCCAAGTGTTATAGCCAGATTATGGCCATATTTTAAGCCACAGAGCCGGTCAGTGCTTGCCTTCGATGCTGCCATTTTGCAAAACGAAGTCTCGTGCTGTCGCAAACCTGTTCGAGAGCGGTGCGATCAGCTCATGCGTAAGCACGCACGCATCTCATGCGTGCGTACGTAGCGGCTGCGTACGTAACGCGATACGTGCGCGTTGCGGTCCGCGCATGCGCACTACGCAGAACGTGGCGTCCTTACGTACGCAACGCCGCCGAGTACGCAACGTACGCTGTACTAAAACTCTCTATTACCGACTGGACCCTGCCGAAGCTTTATGGAAGTTCTCTGATCTTTCAACATCCCTAATGCTCAAAACGTTTCGCATGCCCTTTCTGACGCATTTCGCAGGAAACGCCCCGGCAGGCTGAAGTCTGGTGGACGCGGGCTGCTTGGCGTCACTACAACACCAGCACCATGTGCTTGCAGCGGTTGCACGGGCGGCTCGGACTGCGATACCGCGCGATCGGCAGCGGGGAGCTCCTAAGGCGCGATATGTTCCTCCGGGCGCAGGGACTGCGCCTCGCCTACGATGCCCTGCTAGCCTCCATGGGGCCCCTGACGTTCAACAAGTACCTCCGCCATCTGTGGCACGAGGCCCGAATAGTGTTCTTCGTGCGTTCCTGCCTGCTCCACTGCGACGCCGATCAGCGGCTCAAACCCACGTTGTCCTCGCGCGCCAAGTGTCTCCTGCCGCTCCACAACATGCCCGAGTTCGGAGCCGTGTTTGACTGCGTGTCCAGGGAGGACTTCGTGAGTGAGCAGTGCGTGGCGTGACTATGGGGTGTTGTGCGAAGGGTGCCTCGATGCCAGGAGGGCAGTGACACGTCCAGAATCGCTGCCATATTGCGTCAGAGCACGCGGGAACGCATTAAGCGGGCCACACCGCACAATGTAAGTGCGGCGGTGGCATTGAGAGACCCTATAGTTGGGCCAATAGTGCGCAAGAATGCTGCTGAGAGCTTACGACGCTGACAACATTACGGACGTACGAACATCGCTCGAGAGTATTCGCATGCTTGCAGTCTGATGTCACTCGTCACTGCTTCGCAATTATTCGCCACGTGTTCTATTTTGTTGTTGTTGTTTTCGTGATAAATAAATAAGCGAACGAAATTGGGTGAGAGTTCTTGCATATCCTTTATGTTCTTGCCACAGGTTGCACAAGGGCGTGTTGACAGATAACGTGACATCAGGAACGCGATGGCTTCAAAGATTAGCGAGATGATTTTCTTCTTGCGTCGAGTGAATCAGATTCATCACGTTAGATGACAAGCGTACACTTTGCGGGCTTGCATGATGCGCATCGACAGTTTTTAATGCAAATGCCAAGCAGGTGCGTATTGCAAGCACGGATCACTTCAGGGGCCCGGGCTGTCTATGCGGCTAAACCTACGTCGTCGCATGCTGTTGTCGCGTGGCGGAACACACACACACACACACACACACACACACACACACGCACACACGCACACACGCACACGCGCACACGCGCACACGCGCACACGCACACGCGCGCACGCACACACGCACACACGCACACACGCACACACGCACACACGCACACACGCACGCACACACGCACACACGCACACACGCACGCACACACGCACACGCACACGCACACGCACACGCACACGCACACACACGATGAGTCACAAGTACTGGGGGATTTATTAAACCACCGGGTAGCTATCTCTAAGACGATGCTTTGTCTTGTCTTGTCGCCTAGGGTATCTTGGCTCATACCCACATGGGGGATTGGCCACACTGTACCTCATGTTAGTCGTGGCTGGCTCTCGAGCAGAGAAGAAGCACGCGATCTTCTTTTCCCTCCAGATTAAGAGCCGCTCTTGCCGTCGACCCACTACGTGCTGGTGGCATTATCCCCCTTCCGAAAAGAAAAAAAACAAGTCCCAAAAAGAGGAAAAAAAAAAGGACATAGCAGCACCGCAATGCTACTACATAGGCACGTGAAAAAGAAATTGGAAATTCGGATAAAGTGAAAGTAGAAATTGAAGAGCGTGCCAATATAAGAAACGTCAATGAACGAGAAAGCAAGTTCACAAAAATAAACAAAAAACACAAAGAACGCTGTACGGTAAAGGAAAAGTTACGAGCAACGCGCAATAAATGGTTTCATGCGCAACACATGAACGACGTCCGGCCTCAGTCGGGTCCTGCTCCGTGCATGGGGTGTTGAGTCCGGAACCACTTCGTAGTTCACGTCACTGACGCGGCGTAACACTTTATAGGAACCAAAGTACCGGCTCAGTAACTTTTCACTAAGGCCACGGCGGCGGACGGCCGTTCACACCCAAACCTGATCTCCGGGGTTGTAAAACACTTCTCTGTGGCGGGTGTTACAGCGTCGTGCGTCTGCCTGCTGTTGCTGGCCCATGTGCAGTCGCGCGAGCTGCCGGGCTTCCTCAGCACGCTCTGCGAATTTGTCGGCGTCAGTTGCCAACTCGTCTTCGTCCTGACACGGTAGCATAGAGTCTAGCATGGTCTGCACTTCGAGGCCGTAGAGAAGCCGAAATGGCGTGAATCTCGTGGTCTTACACGGCGGTATTATACGTGAAGGTCACGTAAGGTAAGATCCGGTCCCATGTTTTGTGCTGTACGTCGATGTACTTTGAGATAATGTCTGCGAGGGTCTTATTCAGTCGCTCGGTAAGCCCGTTGGTTTGCGGGTGGTACGCAGTTATCCTTCGGTGTCTGGTGTTGCTCAGTTTGAAAACTTCGTCGTAAGCTGCGCCGTGAATGCCGTCCCTCTGTCCGTTATTACACTTTAAGGAGCACCGTGTTGTAACACGATGTGGCGCATGAAAAATTGTGCTACCTCAGAAGCCGTGGCTCATGGGATCGCCTGCGTCTCAGCGTAGCGTGTCAAATAGTCGGTCGCGACGATCACCCATTTGTTGCTGTCCGCAGACAGGGGAAATGGCCCGAGAATGTCCATGCCGACTTGGTCGAACAGTGTGCAGGGTGCTTCAATGGGCTGAAGCAAACCAGCTGGCTTAACATATTGTCACGAGGTTGTGATACACGCAGCACTTGAGAGGAAGCACGCAGGAGTCAGGGCGGTGTCAGGCGAACTGTTTATTGGGCGAACTTGTGCCCAGCAAAACAGGGCCAAGCACAACTCACAGCAACAGCGGCGTGAACAGTCGTCGGCCGACGGAAAAAAAAGAAGAACCCCAGTGGCGCACTGCGCCGGCTTTTTATACACGCGTCGTAACGCGTTCCAGAGTGGCATACAAGATAAACGCGGCCTGCGTTGCGCACGTGTCAGTCTTTTATACACGCGTCATAACGCGTTCCAGAGTGGCATACAAGATAAACGCGGCCTGCGTTGCGCTTAACAGAAAGTGATAGCGGCTTTCTTCGTAAACCAAAAGAACCGCACGTGTCACTACCCCCCTCTGAAAAAGCATCGTCCCGATGCTAAAGACAGAACATAAGAGAGAGAGAAAAGAGAGAGAAAACTTTATTTGCGCATAACGCGGAGCATTCCAAATGGTCGGGCCCCTATTCCAGGGCTCCGCTGGCCCTAGCCATCATCTCTACCCGTTGGACCAGCCAGCGCTGATCAACAATGGCCGAGCTGGACAGCAGCGCCTCCCATTGTTCCTCTGTGTTGTTCATGTTGTGGTGTTCTTCATTGTGATGCGTACACTCCCACGTGATGTGAAACAGAGTTGGTGTGGCCCCACACCACGGACATATATCTTTGTATGCTGTGGGGTAGAATACATGCAGCCTGTGTAAGTTCGTGTATGTGTTTGTTTGGATTCTGCGTAATGCCACCGATTCCATTGCTGTAAGTTTCTTATGCGGTGCTGGATACACTTTTCTATTGTCCCTGTAATACTGAAGAATTGCACCAAAGTTAGGGTCTAGGGGCGTTGGATCC